CCTTTTCTAAATCACCTGACAATTGTGTAACACAATATATATTAACATTGATTGATGCCAGATATTTAGTTAGGTTATGACATTCAATATACTTAAATTTATTTGTGACACTATTACACCTAACATTATATTTAGACTTATATTTACTGTATAATTGAAATTGGTCATCAATCGACATGTTGCGAAATAAATATTGCAAATAATTCAATGGATACAAGGTCTTTAAGACATCAGATTTGAATAAACAAAATGTGATAGCAGGATGAGTTTTATAATTAATTTCTTGATATACGTAATTAACATTAGTAGTGGTTTCGTACGAAAAGTATAATAAACTTATTTTATACGTTTGATACACACATCCCATTAAACATAGTATGCGACAAATTATATTATATGTTGAATTCATATTTTCAAATATTAATTGTGTAAAATATACTAGAAATATCTATATTTGTTTGTATGAAGCATTTGAAACAATCAATTGAAAGTGAAATACACTATTTATAAAGGAACAAAAATATTTTTATTATTAATTAAAAAACTTAACTATTATGCAATTGGCAATTATTATGCAAACATTATAATTATGAAATTTATTTAAAAATATATAATAAGTGTTACATAATTTATTCTACAATTAATAAGTATTACACAATTAAGAAATATATAATTAATATAATTGAACTGTTTGTCATTTAATAAATAATTGTGGTAATTGCATTTAATAATTGTACACACCTTAATTAAAACATAAAATACATTAAAGTACGAGTATGAAACAATAAATCGTTAACTAAATGCATTATTAAGGAATAAATACCAATGTTAATTATGGTTCTTATTCAGTAAAATTCTTAACTAGCATTATAATTATGCAACAATAAGAAATATATAAATATATAATTTATATAATTAAAATGTTTTTATTAATAAATAATTACTGTAATTGCTATGAATAGTTGTAAACATTTTAATTAAAAACATTTAAAATGTATAACTGAAATATACAGTAGTTATCAATTCAGTAGTTGTACAGAAAATGATATTCAATTGTAAGTAATGTTATATTAGATCACAAAACAAAAATATCTCTGAATTACAGTATTATCTTGAAATAGCATAATACTGCAGTTTAAGCAATGCAAATAATTATTTCAATATATTTTAATTGTTAATAATTTGATTAGGTAATTCATCATTTATACTATTATTTGCTCTAACATTTTGTTGCCTAACATTGATAAATAAATTATAATTTGAGTTTAAAGAATTATTTACCGTGTTTGTATTTTTAGTGATATCTATCACATTTGATACTTTTAACTTAACAATTATTTGCTGACAAAACTGCGTGAAAAACAATACATTAAAACCAAACCATAGACTCAATACACTGGCTATAAATATGCAGAACTCCTCGAAAGACATTTTCAATGATATCTCGTATATAACGGTCGGTTCGGTCGGAAACTTGACATACATTTCAAATCTAT